AGTAAGGAACACTATCTTAATTGGTATGATGCGTTATGGGAAAACCAAAAGTAAAGTCATGAGAGCTTATGCTCCAAGTAGACAATATCATACTATCGTGGAGAGTCCTGGTTCCTAATATGGTATCAGAATCACATGCTCTTAATTTAACCATATCTCGAAGGTGTAGACAAAGATGACTCAAGTGTCGAACAAAGGATGTATTTTGTTCAAGAGCTCCAGAAAAGGGGTTGAGCCTCGATTAAGGGGAGGCTGTTCGAGAGCTCCAAAGAAGGAGGCCTCAGGGGAGGCTATATGGTATACTTTGTTCGAGGGGAGGATTGTTGAGAATTATTAAGGGGCTAGTCCCACATGGGCTAATTATGAGGAAGATCATGAGTTTATAAGTAAGGAACACTATCTCCACTAGTGTGAGGTTTTTTTGGAAAAACCATGAACAATGTCTTACCATTGTGGAGGGATGTGGTTCCTAAATGAGTCAAAACAGCTTAATATATTATTACGATGATTGCATGACGAGGCAAATTTTATACCCTATTTTTAAAAATGTTGGTTTTTTTATTATTGAATACAAATAGCATAGTGTTTGTATTCAACTCGACCAATCAATGTGTATCCAGTAAAGACTTCTACTTTTCACCTTATTAAATGATATGCCATTTAGTTATAACTCATGATTTAGATTTGATATTTCTTTGGTTTGATAACTCAGGCAGTGTAGAATTGCATTTCCTAATTGGCTACTCTAGTTTCTCCTTTTGCTGAAAGCAAGAAACCATATCAGTTTGCAGGCCCCAGCTGTTTGCAGGATCGTCTGAAGGATACTCTGGACATGTAGATGGAAAGCCAAGGGATGCAAGAATGAGCCATCCAAGAGGGTTAGCTGTGGATCAGAGAGGAAATATTTACATTGCAGATACAAAGAACAAGGCCATAAGAAAAATCAGTGATGCCGGTACTTTCCTAAATCATTCTTGTTCGTACCAAATAATCTCCGCTCGCATTTTTTAAGTTTCAACATCTTGCCTTTGGGATCTGTTAATTGTATATAAGTCGTTTATAGTTTTTTTGCAGGAGTTACGACCATTGCTGGAGGAAAATGGAGGAAAAGTGGCCATATTGATGGTCCCAGTGAAGAATCAAAATTCTCAAATGATTTTGATGTGGTTTATGTAGGAAGCAGCTGCTCACTTCTGGTAGTCGACAGAGGAAACCAAGCAATTCGGGAGATTCGACTTCGTGCTGATGATTGTACCGACGAGTTTGATGGTAGCTTCCTCCTAGGTACATTGTATCCAAAACAAATCAACCATGGATGCCATTTTTCTCTCATATTCAGTAATCTCTTTACTATGTTCTGTTATTGTAGGGATGGCTCTGCTGACTGCAGCTATGCTTTTGGGATACATGTTGGCACGTCTTCAATTTTGGGTGTTGGCTGCGTTTTCTTCTAAAAATGTATTGTTTTTACAAGATAAACAATAGCTTTATAGTATTATAGATAATGTATAGACTAAACTATCCATCAACATTAGCATTTTCTGATATTTTTACGAATGTTTCTGTGAGATCCCACATCGATTGGAGAGGAAAACGAAACATTTTTTATAAAAGTGTAGAAACCTCTCCCTAGCAGACGTGTTTTAAAAATCGAGGAGAAATCCGAAAGGAAAGACTCAAAGAGGACAATATCCACAAGCGGTGGGCTTGGGCAGGGAGAGATTGGCTGGTCTATTCATTAATGTAGAACCAACTTTCTGTTGCAGCTAAACTTTTTTTCCTATGACTTGCAGGACTCAAGAGCTGACTCGAGGGACGTTTCATCGATTCCTCCATATCTAACGGCCGAGAAATCTGTGAGGCATCCGCTGATTCCCAGTGAAGAGGAAGAAGAGAATCAGCCAGGAGAGAATATCATTTGTTCCCTCGGCAAGCTTTTCCTCAACACTGGCTCATCCGCAGCTGAAATCTTCGTGGCATTGCTTCTTGGAGATAGAAGAAAGGCAGCCGACCCCCACGTCCAGCAGCATTATCAAGTAAACAAACGTGGACCGGCAGGGTTGGGCATGCAGGAAAGCTTTGCAATCCCATGTGGCCGTGAACCACTGCATACAATGACTGGGATACATTACTCTTATTCGGCAACATGTCCCGAAAAGGTGCAGCGTTACAGGCGCATTAGGGGGAGGGATGGTGTCGGGGAAGAACAACCATATCCATCGAGTCCGAAGGTGTGCTACAACCGGAGCAGTGAGAGAAACGAGGTTGTGTTTGGTGAAGTACAAGAAGAAGAGCAATGCTGTGTTGGAGGTGGTGGCTGTGTGGAAGGGAAATCCTTCAGCAACAACAAACATGAAAACTCTTTTGTTACAGAGAAAAAGGGAACAAGAGATTAACAATTGCCTGGTTTCTCAATCTGAGTTGTTGATGTTATGAATTTACAAATTCTTTTATTAAAAACAAAAGGAATAATAGTTGCTATTTTCAATTTTTTTTAGTGTGTATTTTGTAAATATCTCAAGTCAAGAACGATTCAAATAATCGACCATGTCACGCATGAATGATTCTAAACATTCCATCTCAACTATATAAAATTGCAAACAAATTTAGTTCTTGATGGAAAGCAAAAATGGTTTGATTCTTCAAATTTTGTGATAATTTGAACAACATTTTCTTCAAATTTTTCTTAAAGTTTATAGTACATGATTGATGTCTTGATTCATATCTGAAGACATCACGAATGATCGACTAAAAGAGCACCGGTTAGGAAGAAGAAACAAAATGAAAATGACATTGGGAGGTTGACCTACTCAACTTGAAGTAAAATGACAACAGGTTCAATTGAAAAACGGTTCGTTATAATTATAAAAACATATGGTCCAAAAAATATACTTCTTTAAAATTCAATTAATTATCCAATCTCGTCTTTTTTTTCTTTTTTGAGTTAAATGATATTTAAGTCGAAAACTCAAATCAATTGAGTTATACTCCCTCCAAATTCTAAAAATAAAAATTATTTTTTCAAGTTTTCAAAAATATTAATTTGATTTTTGAAAATAATCAAATAAGTATAGAAAAAGGGCTCAATAATTTAATATTTAAAAATAAAATCTTCAAACAACATGGGCATAAAAAAAATACAAAAAATTTATGATTCCACTTGTATTATTGACATTTTATGAATAATAATTATTTGTACACGGTTTATTCCTTGCTATGACCTTATTTTATTTGTTTTTTTTTTTAAAAAATACATCATTATAAGTATCTAAATAAATTAAAAAAGAAACTCATATAAAACAAAAAAATGCCTCACCACCGCACAAAACCGTGTTCCTTAAATTAAATAAAAAATTTATATAAAACAAATGCCTTTTTTAAAAAAAAGAATTATATCTAATTATATTTTGAGATCTAGTGGTGGTACCAGGAATAATCACATGGACTAGTGTGAACCTTGAAAGAAAATAAAAAATTGATTCAATTATCATGATTTTAAATGTGATAATTTTTACTTTATTTATTGACTTTTGTTTCGATGGATCCAATACCTAATTATTCAAAATTATACGTAAATTATAGAGTTTTTAGAAGCTAAATTTTGGTCCCGGGTCTAAATGTATTTAATTTTGTATTTATATACCTTCTAATAGTTTATTTTATGTCTAATAAATTTTGACATAGTTTAAAAAATTAACCGAAAATTAAAATTGTGTGAATATATTAAAAAAAATATAAATATTTTTTTAAGTAAAAAATAATTGTTATTAAACTTTATGGAATATTAGAATGAATTTAAATATTTAAAAATATAAAAATTAAAATGAGATGAAACTCCAAATACAGACCAAAATTTTCTTGCCTACCTCATATTTTAGTCTATACTTTCAAATATTTTGTTATTTATTCTACTGTGAAATTCTAACACGTTACTCTAAGAATGAGGGAACATTAATTACATGAATTTATTGAACATTATCTATAACTTAAAATTAAGTTTAAATATTGTGACGTGGTCGAGCAAATAACATATAAAATGGGTAATAAAAATTATCTTTAAAAAAAATGTAATAATCATTAAATATATGGAGGGTCGTTACTTTTTGTTGGTCATTCCGCTTTCATAATATATTTTTTTAGTCTCTAAACTTTTCTAAAATAATACTTTTAATCCATGTCATGTACTCGTCTCTAACTGGATTGTTTGAAATCAAGTTAGTTAAATTATGTTAGGATTTGAAAAGTAATTGATAATGATGTTCGATGGATCTAATTGGGTAAATGCAATGCATCCTTGCAACTTGGCGGAGATGGACCCAAAAGCCACTAGTTGACCATTCAATTGGAAGCAATGGGAGGGTGGCGGCCTTTAGAGCACTTCGAAATTGACAATGTTCTAACCATTCAAATATATTAACTATTTTAGTGTCCAATTTTTTATTTATTTTTACTTAAATACAAACCATCTACGTTGTTGTTTCTACTATGGTATTAATATTATTTAAATTTTACTAAAAATAATATCAATGTGACACTTTGGTTGTTATTTGATTTTTAAAATATGTTCTTAAAATTTTGTCCTCCGACTATCTAAATTATTTAAATGAAATTTGGGTTTGTCTCAAAATATCAAAATTTGTCATTGTTCGTTAATATTGATACTCAAAAACGTGATTCATTTTATTTCTTTTATAGATTGAAGATAAGATTGGCACTTTCCAAACATTAGAAGCCAAAAAATGTGAAAATAAAACAATATTTACTTCACTAGCCCATAACCCATATGCGTTCAGCCAATTATATTATTTCTTTAAGAAATGATGATAAGTTAAAATATATATATTAATAAAAAAAATGACGTAATAAAAAAGACCAAGTTGACAAAATTTGAAGGAAAGAAGATTTATATGAATTCCTATTTGTTTTGTTGTTCGAGGCTGGTATCAAACCATAGCCACCACGTTTTAATTATTCAAACAACCAAATATTATTAAAAAAAAAGTTGGCTCTCTCCCTTAATCTATCTATATATACTGGCGGAGAGATTTTGGGCTTCATAATTCAAGGCGGAGAGAGAGGCGGAGAGAAAAATGTTGTCTCAGTTATTGAAACCCATTAAAGCTGTCTTCAAATCAGAGCTCCAAAAGTTCATCCATAAGGATTTCCATGAGCTTGTTCAAAGGATGACCGTTATTGATACCTTTTTGTTCTTGGTAACGGTTTCGTTTTAAGCTTTTTTTTAAGGATGGTTTGGTTTACGAAACGTTTGAATTGTCGTGTTTGTTTGATTTGTAGATTGTGCATTTTGTTGATAAATTCGGAGTTTGGCATAAGCTTCCAGTGATTTTGGGATTGCTTTATCTAGCAATTCGTCGCCATCTTCATCAAGAATATAACTTGATCAATGTCGGGCGAATCCCAGTTGGAGTTCGGTCCAATCTGGTGGATTTACCGTACCGAACCGCCGATGGGAAGTATAATGATCCATTCAATGAAGCTGTAGGTGCCCGAGGATCGTTCTTTGGTAGAAATATGCAGATTATTGATCAATCTAATAAGGTTTTATATCATTCATATACATCATATGTTTTTTTTTTTTAAAGTAAAACTTGAAACTTTAAGATTTGATTTGATAACATTTTTGTAGCTCTTGAGCCCGGATCCTATGGTGGTGGCTACAAAGCTTCTAGCAAGAAGAAAGCTTATAGACACTGGAAAGCAATTCAACATGATCGCTGCTTCTTGGATTCAGTTCATGATTCATGATTGGATCGATCATTTGGAGGATACCAAACAGGTCTAGAATTAAATTAATAAAAATACTCTTTGAACTTTATATCTCGTCTAAAAAATATTATGTTTCAATAATACTCTTCAATTTTTAAAAAATTTTAAAAAAATACATTAAATACCATCAATTTGAAAAATACCCTTAAAATTTTAATAATATTTTAATATATTTTAAATTTTAAAGAGATTCATACCTTAAACTTTTTTTTTTTTACAATTCAAAAATATTTTTATACTGTATTTAAAAAAAATTCATAAAATTTTAAAAATTAAATTAATAAAAATATCCATAAATCTTGCAATAGAATTACCAGAATAACCTTTTAAACTTTTATAAATTTTAAAGAATATTTTTATTAATTTAGGCCATTTTATTCCATTTAATTACAGGTTGAGTTGGTGGCTCCACGTGAGGTTGCAAGTGAGTGCCCATTAAAATCATTCAAGTTCTTCAAGACAAAACAGGTTCCAACCGGCTTTTTCCAAAACAAAACCGGATCGATTAACGTACGAACTCCTTGGTGGTAAGAGGTTTTTTGTTTTTTGTTTTGTTTTTTTTTTTTAAATCATTTATTTCTGCTTTCTGTGTTCTGATCTTCACGACCTATGGAATTGTAGGGATGGAAGTGTTTTGTATGGAAGCAATGCAGAAACGTTGGGGAAGGTGAGAACTTATAAAGATGGGAAGCTCAAGATTGCCGACGATGGGCTTCTTCTTCACGACAACGACGGTGTTGCCATCTCCGGCGACGTTCGGAATAGCTGGGCCGGTGTCTCCACCTTGCAGGCTTTGTTCATTAAGGAGCATAATGCCGTTTGTGATGCCTTAAAGGTTCGAGTGTTCTTTGTTCTTTATTCTTCATGGGTTTGTTTGTATGTTCTAAGTTAGGAATCACTACTCTCCACAATCCATAATGATATATGATATTGTCCACCTTAAGCAGAAGGAAGATCTAGATTTAGAAGATGAAGATTTGTATCGACATGCAAAGCTCGTGACTTCGGCTGTGATTGCTAAAGTTCATACCATTGATTGGACTGTTGAGCTTCTCAAGACTGACACTTTGCTTGCAGGAATGCGTGGCAACTGGTATAACCCTTATCGATCTAAATGTCAAAAGTTTAAATTAATCTGTTACATATACAATAATTTACTTGTTACGTCGGGTCACTACTTTCGTTATCTGTTGTTCGTGATGAGAATACTATCAATGTGAGATCCCGTATCAGTTGGAGAGGAAAATGAATTATTCGATATTGCTTATGGTTGGTTTAATTTTATAAGGTATGGATTATTGGGGAAGAAATTCAAAGACACGTTTGGGCACGTTGGAGGAGCCATTTTGGGAGGTTTAGTGGGTTTGAAACAGCCCGATAATCACGGTGTCCCATATTCCTTGACGGAAGAATTTACTAGTGTCTATCGCATGCACCCACTCTTACCTGATGATTTCCACCGTAGAGATGTCTCGGTTGAACCCGATCACAACAAATCTCCACCGTTGATCGAAACGTACCTCCTCTCTCTCTCTCCCTCCTATTAGTTTTGTCATTTTTCATATAACATCAATGATTGAACAATTATTGGGGATGTTTCAAATAATTTTAATAGATTTTCTTTTTTGTTTGAATAGAGTGCCAATGGGGAATATGATTGGGCTCAAAGGAGAACAGGCCTCAAAGGAGATGGGCTTTAGGGCCCTATTAGTTTCAATGGGCCATCAATCCAGTGGAGCCCTAGAGCTATGGAATTATCCAGTGTGGCTCAGGGATCTCATAGCCCATGACATGGACGGCAAGGATAGGCCCGATCATGTTGACCTTGCAGCCCTTGAAAGTATTGACCGAATCACAACCCTTTATTTCTCTTGATCTAATATGAATCGTTGGTTTACATCATGATGGAGCTAACTTTGTGGTGGTAAATTCAATTTCATTTTGCAGTTTACCGGGACAGAGAGAGAAAAATTGCTAGGTATAATGACTTCCGCAGGGGATTATTTCTCATTCCAATCTCCAAGTGGGAAGATCTAACGGACGATAAAGAAGCGATTGAAGTGCTTCGTGACGTGTACGATGATGATGTGGAGAAGCTCGATATTTTGGTGGGGTTGATGGCAGAGAAAAAAATTAAGGGCTTTGCTATAAGCGAGACTGCTTTTGTCATTTTCTTGCTCATGGCTTCAAGGTAAACTAAATCGAATTTTTAACTATATATTCTAATCAAATTACAAATCACGAGCACGACAAAAGCGATTTTACAAGTATAAAACTGGACGTTTTGATTGAACTGAACTAAAAAAATGTTATCAAACATGCATGTATTCAGCTAACTCGAGAAAACAAAAACCCTAAAAATGCAGGAGGCTAGAAGCAGATAAATTCTTCACGAGCCATTTCAACGAAGAAACATACACGAAGAAGGGATTAGAATGGGTGAACTCCACCGAGAGCTTGAAAGATGTTATAGAAAGACATGAACCCGAGATTTCAAAGAAATGGATGAACTCATCAAGTGCTTTCTCGGTTTGGGATTCTCCTCCCAACACTCCCAACCCTATTCCTATTTACCTTCGTCTTCCTCATTGATTCTCAATATTCGTGTTCATCGGTTCATGTATTATATTGTATTCTTCATGTTTTTCATTTCAAATTTGAATTTTTATTCTTATATTTCTGGAATAAGTCGATAGTTCTTGTTTTAACGAATATTTGGTCTGTTAGATTCGATACTAGTCGAGAACTATTGAGTTAAATTAAGAACCGTTGCTAAATTTTTTTGGTACGAGTATTGACCACGTTGACGTGCTCTATACGAATTGTGTTGTGTATCGACTTTTGTATATAGTCCCAAAATTCGTATATCACCCAAACATTATTTGACTTTGAACATGAAATTATTTTGTTACGAATCCATGGCAGCCTCCTTTCTCATGACTGCCATCAACAAATCACTCCAAGCATCAATGGGGCCTGGCATGCACCAATGCACACAGTCATTGTACCCTCTCATCCATTTGTTACCCCAAAACTCCCCCGGGTGCCCGTCCCCTCTCATCATCATAGCCATCGTCACGTCGATCGCCATGAATCTCCTCCCTATCATCGTCTCCCCTTCTCGGTTCGCCTTTTCCATCTCTTCTAATTGAATGTCTCTTAGCTTCCAGTCAAAGCTCTCTAAATCGATCTCTTTTGCACTCAACGGGCTCGTTCTATTGCAGTACCCACCTGTGTTCCAAATCCCATCCTCGAAATGGGCAGGCGAGAACGTCCTTACAAATGTTACCAACTTACCACAGCTCTTACAATCATTGATGTACTTAAAAGCAACTCGCAATGCCATTTTCAAGGCGAAGTCGGGATTGTGAGTTGTGATATTTGGATCGTTGCAGTAGACGCAGTCGACAATGTTGGTACCTTCATGCAAGTACAATGGTCGGAAGAACCAATGGCCGCTGGAGATAATCACGTAATCAATATCGGGTAGGTGTCGTATCCAGCCATCGTCGAGCTTGTCGAGTTGCAGGTCGAAAACGCCCGTTCCTGTTCCGTTCACAACTCTCTCCTTCCCAGCAACAAGGAATTTAGTCCAAAGCATGATGAGGGCGAGCTCAGTCTTTGGAAAATACCATCTTCTAAACCTATCGTCAGAGTCTTTGTAAACATCTTGTGGAGTTTCTACCTATAAAATTCAAGTTTTAAGAACATAATTAAAAGGTTAATTAATTAATTCAAAATTGTACTTTATTTAATTAAATTTCTACATTCACCGGAGATTCCTCAGCCACCCCGAAACTAAGGAAACTGTTCATGTTTTTGTGTCTTGAATTTTTTTTTTTTTTTATCAATTTATTGCTGTAATTTTATTTTTCTCATAAATAAACATATTTTACTATTTTTTTAAAGTTTTTTTTTTATTTTTTATTTTTATTTTGTGGGTTGATATTTTTCCATAAAACAATGGATTATATTAAATTTTGGAAAAATAAAAAATTAATCCAATATCTTTTTTTAAGAAAAATATTATTAAAAAAAAAAATCACTTTTTCTTTCTCTCCTTTTTAAGTAATTATATATATATATATATACACTTCTTACTTCTTTTTTTTTTTTAATAATTTCTATTTTTTTATATAAAATAAAAAACGTATATTGAAAAAGAAAATTATTGCCAAAATTGCAATGGGAATATGGTAAAATTCAACCCCTAATTTTGGAAAGTGATTATAGTAAATGAAACATCATTAACAAAGGCCACACAAATATTGACCTTATTCCCATTATTGACAATGTTTTTTAATAAAAAAATCTTGACCATTTTTCTTTTTTAATATTTTTTTTAATGGTCCAAAATTATATACAAATTTGGAAACAATTAGAAGAAAAAAAATCTGAGCAAAATAAAAGAAACGTCAGCTACCCACAACCATCCAAGTTTTTTTAATTCCATCCATGGTTTTGAGCCCATGAACTCATCCATGGAGGAACGGAGTTTCCCTAATAATGAAAATCCCTCAAAACCACCAAAAAATTCAAACCGATTGCTAATTTCATTCCACAATCAAAAGTTTGGCAGAAAAACAGAGAGATTGAGAAAGAAAGAGATGGAAGGAACCTGTGATAAGATGCAGAGAAGAGATTCCATGTGATTTCTGGAAACAGAGTCGCCGATAAATGCGAGTTTCTTCCCACGAAGAAGATGAAGAAACGCCGTTGGATCAAACCGAGGAAGCTCGCATTCATCTGGCTTCCATCTCCAGTTCACAAAATCCATATCCTTTCTCCCCTGTTTGAAGCAATTTTTTGATTCTGGAATGGTGGGGCAGCTCCAATTGGTGTACATCCCCGCCCCTCTTGCCTCCTCTACCCAATGCCCTTTGAATAAATTGCACCTCTGTTTCTCTGCATGAACAGAGCGGGCCCTTAATTTAAGAATTCAACGTAAGAATCAATGGAAATGGAGAAATGGGTTTTGGGATTTGGAGTTAGATTGTTACCTTTCAGAAGCTTTGGACCAAGAACTAGAAATGGGTTTCGAGGAGTAATGAAGAAGAAGATGAAGAAAGTAACAATGGCGGTCATTCCTAAGAATGACCATAACAGAGGACCAAACCAACTCCATCTCTCCCTCTGCAAATTGCGATTATGATTGGATTTCTTTGCCAAATGAGCGTTTGAGAATCTCATGGCGTTTCAGCATGAAGAAACAGAGAGAGTTTTGAGTATGAACTGTATGGGTTTTGTGAAACTCTCAAATCTATGCTTCTATAAGAAAATTACATCCAAAATGGGAAACTTTTATTCAACAAGCCATCACAGCAACAATACGTAATACTCTTTAATAACTACTCGTTTTTCCAGCCTCCCTCAATCATGGCATCTTTCTCTCTCTACAATTTCAGAAACAGAGTTCCTCCAAAGGAAGGGAAGAGAAGGCACAGCACAGCCGAAGATGTGATTTCAATCATGTGGCATGTGATTGCAACACGCATAAGGCCATAAAGACCTTGACGAATTTCATGTGATTCGTGGACCATACACAATAAAATACCCTAATTTCTGCAGAAGAAAACCTGAAGGAGAATATTATCATTTGGACATGGGAATTCCAAAAAGAGAAACATTGTTCAGCATCAGAACCATCAATCAGAACAAGCTTAAGCCATTTTGTTTCCGATTAGTAATGGTGTTATGGAAAACCAGAGAGAGAAAAAGAGTTCATGAGCAAGAGAGAAAAGGGATCTGTGTATTACTATGAATAAAGAGTGTAAAAGAGAACCTAACGGTAAGAATGAAGTAATAACTACATATGTAAGGGAGAACACAGCTTTGAGTATCACTGACAAAGGCCGGCCACAACCTCCAAAAGTTCTTACATCCACTTCTGTTTCCAAGGTGAAGGTGTCTGAATGGATGGCAATCGACCACATGTCGGACGCCATTCATTAGCTTTCTACACAGCAACTTCCTTTTGCTTTGCTTTCTATTAAGTTAGATATTTACACAAATGAAACCTCGTCTGCTTTTTAGTGAAACGAATCTGTCGAAATGTGTCCACCACAGAGAAAAATTCAGCTGCCTGAAAACCAGCGACGTTGCTGCAACATTTGAGAGGGAACAGTACGCCAGCCCCATCGTAAACAGTTTTTTATTATTGGTGCCACTATTAGCACGTATACTGTGTTCTTTTTCTTGGTCTGTAATTCTTTGGCCTATCAAAAGAGCAGCCATAAAAAGGTTCAACATTCGGAAAAAAGTGAAAAAGAGCAGGGAGATAACATGAAAAATTAATTAAGAAAACACAACAATGAGAAAACGATTTGGAATATCACACATTCATCAATCAAAGTGAGGTTCAACAACTAAAAGAAAGATCAATTCTTTGGGATCCTTCCTTTCTTCAAACAGAACGAACAAAGATAGAATCAAACAGATTTCCGAGCACAGAAAATGAAGCTCTATAGCTTCACACATAGATAAAACACACACCATCCATTTCCCAAGTGGCAGATAGGTATAGATAAAATAAAAGTATGCACAATTTTATGCTTTTATGGGTTGTATTCAAAAGAGGGGCACAGCAGATGCAATAAAAGAGGCTCTAAATTGACTTTTCCATAATAGAAGCAAAAATTGGAGGCCATCGGATGCGGGTAGACTTGGACAAGCACTTGCCCCATAAACTTGCAGGATGTTTAAAAAACAAAGCCAAGTTTATGGGAATGCATACTGAAATCCCTACATATTCTACTAATATCTTAGCACGGTCCTTGGATACCACTCGGTTATTTCTAATTTTCTGTTTTCAAATAAGTTTGAAGCGTCAAAAAATAGGAAATAGGAGAGTGTTGTCACATGGGTCGGTAACAAAGTTTGATCAAAATAAATGAATATACAGAAAAGGCCCAACGGGGCGCAGAAAACCACTTCAACTGGAACATAACATGGAAATATCATAATTACAAAAAGGATTAAAAAAAGACCATCCAGGAGGAATAGAAAACAAGAACAGTAAATTAAGTGAAAGGTTCCTACAAAAATGTGACCGGGAACATATCAAAGACACACACAATTCCATATTAGAGCTTTAAATGGAGCGGGAAAAGGAAAACAAACTTGACTGGAGATGCAGTCATGTTCACTAAGACAGAAAATAATGTGCCAAAATGTTCAATATCATAATATCAAGCGAAATGTAGAATTAGCATCATTTAGCAATTGTACGGAAGGAATGGGAAGAGTAAGCTCACCAGGACTTGGTTGGTGACCACAATGAAATGCTGCTGCCCTCACTCATTGTTGTTTGTAGTTAAACCTAGCAGAACCATCTAAGCCACTGTCGGGTTCTTTTCTCTTGTGCATACCACCTATCTGAAACATCTTGAGCTGCTCATCAGCAAAAGGCTGCGTACTGGGAACTGAAAGTTGTCTCGATGCTAAAGGCAACTTTTCATCAAGTCTTTCTTTATCTATAATCCCATGACCTGCATTAAGATCCAAACCCTGGCTTCCCCATTTTCCAATCTCAGGACCAACAGCACTACTTCCGGTTGGATAACTCATAATGAACGGCCTTGAATAAGGGGTAGGGGCTACCCCAGCTGGCCCTAATAAATGAGAAGTAATGGTAGGGAATCCAAGCGAACAGCCAGGGGATGAATCCATGTAGGATGTAGAACAACCTGAATAGTTGTTCGATTGTACAGGAAAACTAGTTTCGAAAGGGAACCCAGAATAAGTAAAGGAGTTAGCAGGTGGAAATGCCAAAGCAGGAGAGGAAGAAAGCACTGGTGCACGATAAATTTCAGCAGTGAATCCTGTGCCTGTAGGGGGAGCAAACACTCTCTGAGATACAGCAGCAGGAACATAGCTTTGTTCTCCTCTACCTGGCAAGACTGATGGGATCGCCGTTAATGCTGAATATGAATTACCCTGAGGAAACAAAGAATAGAAGTTCCCAATTTCTCCAGAGTTCACCTTCATTCCAGGGAGAAGTGATGAAAATGGCATGTAGTTTTTATTCTGCTGACTGAGAGGTACTGTTTCTGCCCCCATTTCATCAAGGGAAGGACCATTGTTCAAATCGAAGTTTCTGGAGGCACTGAACCCACAATTCCCTGAACCACCAGAAACAAATGGTCTACTTGAAATGGGGAGCTCTAACCTATTCCTGCCAATAGAACATGGGCCCACATCATGACTTTCATCAACTTTATTCAAATCAAGATCAAGTCCACCACCTCGATCACAAAGCCCTAGATCAACACTTGCTTTCCACGGTACATTTGACGACAAAGCAACTTCTTCTAGGAGTCTCTGGTCCGGCACGTTCAGGTCAAAATCCAAAGGTGGGCGCCCCTCCTTGCTAGTGGTAGTAACAAGAGGTACATCACTCAAGCTGAGTGGCATTTCAAGATTTTTTCGTGGTTCAGCCCGGCGAAAAGCACTTGTAGCAGCTGAACCCTTCCATCCAAGTTCAACTTTATTTGCTAGGGAGTTCGCTGGTGGAACAACTGATCCTTTTGCAGCAGAAGCCACAGTAACTGAAACAGGGAAGCTTTCTGATGCTGAAGGGATGGAGAAAGGTGTGAAAATGGGCAGCTGAACAGAAGAGGAACTTCCAATAACATCGTCTTGTGTCACATCATCCACAGAACAACCTTCATTTAAATCAAAATCCAGCTTTACCACTGTGTCTGACCTTGGAGCAGAAAGTGAAGGATTTGCACTAGTGACATGGTCTTTGGTTCCAGTCGACTCGGGAATATTTAAACTTAATTTCTCATCCTGATCATTTTCTGGTAAGGGAATGGCGGGAGATTCCACGTGCATAGAAACCCCACCACAACAACTATTAATGCCATCTGTTCTTCCCAAATCCTGCACTGCACAATCATCTTTCCGATCTGACAGAGGAGGAACCTGAATCATTGTCTGTTTCCCGATCTGATTAACATGAATTTCTGAGCTCACAATATTTGATTTTTTATCCTTAAATTCTGCATCAAAAGAATTGGCATCAGGAACCATCGTAGCAGTCTCAATTTTTTCCTCCTGAGAGTCTGCGTGAATCTCAGGTGTAGATGACAGTTTCTCTTCCATTCCACTGCCGCTATCTAAGTCTGCATGGGTCTGAACATCGCCACCACTTAATTGTGAAGATAAACAAGGCGTCTTTTCATCCAATTGCTTATCATCTTCGAGAGCTGATGTAGTTTTTACTTCTGATTTCAAAACCACTCCACTATCTGTCGCTCTGTCATCAGTTTGGTCCAATATTTCATTTTCACGGAGTTGGGTACACTCTTCCAATAATGAGTCTTGTACTAGAAGCGACCTTGATTGCTCTAGTTCATTTTGATCAGAAAGCTGATTTGTTTCCACAGTGTCTGAATTACCTTCTTCCACACCGTATGAAGAACCAACAGCTACAGAGGCATTGCATTCTTCAGCATAAGGTTTTGCATCACAATTTGAAGGCGTCCTCTCCATGTTTTGCTGAGCATTTGATGGAATAATATGTTCCCTTGAAGAGCCAAATGCAACACCTCTTCCATCTTTAGGAGAGTCAGCTGAGGTCGAGGCAGGATGAGATCCATTTCTATCATGCAACATGTTATTGCTGTCAAGAGGCTCAGAAGATGAGCGACCCCCAGCCCCACCATTAGCATCATCTTCATCACATTTAATCTCTTCAGGCAAATTTTTCAATTGTCCATCATTGCCATCAGAAGATTCTTCTGCCATAGGTGATCGTTCCTGAGGAGAATCCAACGGCGATGCATTATTAGATTTAGATATTTCCCCAGTAGCCACGCTCGCAAGAAGATTCATCCCTACAACATCCCCTGGTGATGATGATGTATTAGACTCAGAAAATTTAACACAGCTTTCAATCAAGGCATTTATGGAGCTTAGAGAAGCATCATAAGTTTTTCCAGGTCTAGATATAATTCCAGTCAATGAAGCATTGGTTTCTGATTGCCCTTCATTGGCCGCAGCAAGCCTGCCTTGTTCGTTGCTGGCAGCTACCTCTTTACCCTCCTCTGAGCTGAGAAATTGATCTTTCTTATGACATTTATCTGAGTTTACTTCAGTTGCAAAACTAGCCCCAAGCAAATAGCTTCTGCCTTTAGCTTTCTTTTCATGGTTATCACCTGCCTCATCATGAAGAGATCCTTTGTGACATGAAACAACTTGATCCTCTGTGACAACCCTAGAAGTTCCCACTGGATTTTTGCAGGTGTTTGGCAACTTTACAACAAGTCGACTATATCCATGTTCAACAAGTGACGCATCTGGAGATTTCTCATGTGATGCAGTAGAGGCCTTTTCAGAAGTCAAATTCTTATTTAGGGCATTAAGTTTTCCAGACCCAGATACCTTGTGTGTTCCTGTGAGAGTATTCAAATGAACACCATTGCTAGGCTTCCGATGGCGAGAAGCACCCACAGAAACTTTGCTAACACTTCCTGAACCAGAATTTGAGCTCCTAGTGTCTTCTTTGCATGAAGATGCTACAGTTTTTGCATGATCACTTGACTGACTGTTATTTTGGGAATGACTTGAACTGCTGCTCCTCTCCTCCTTTATAGGAGTCAAAGGAAGATCTGAGTTCCCCCCAACTAGTGTTTTAAAGTTATAATCCCTTGATGAAGCAACCATGCTTGAAGAAGACTTCATGCTGCTCGACGATGCAGATGATTTGCCAACCATTTCAGTGGGACAGAATTTAGCTTGAGAATGTTTAAACATGTTAGAATGTGTAGAGCTCTTTACGCAATCATCACCAGACCCTCCAGCCTTTTTGCTCCCTAATTGAGAAACTTCTAAAGGCCCAGATTTAGAAGGCCATGAGACACCATGACTGGATTCAGACTTTGCATCATTAACATCCATCTCAGCTTCCACACGTTTCTTCCAGGTATCTACCAAACTCCTTGCTTTCTTCTGAATTTCAGCATTTTTATGAGTACGTAAATGATTCACAGACTTACCTATATAACAACTCTGAAGAGCATTGAGATTCACAGGAAGTTTATCCAAGGCACGAAGTAGAGCCAAAAGAAAATCCTCTACAGTTTTAACACTTCCTTTCGTGCCATTACCATCAAAAATTTTACCCTTACGAACTTCTTGAAGCCATTCATCTAATACAGGCAAACCCCTGAGCTGCAAAAACCATCCTAGACAATCAATCCTATCAGTGACTGCTATAACATCAGCAAGCATCACTCGATCGGCCAAGTCTAATTTCTGACCAGAACTGTCAGGTTGGATAAGTTTGACAAAATTTTCAACCCCCTCAAAGTCAATAAGTCCTCCTTTATCAGTAATTTTAGCAATCTCATTCTTTAGCGTACTTTCTGATTTAAACTGACCGAATTCTCCATCTTCTGTTTTAAATAACCGCTCTCTCTTTGTGGGTTCAGACCCCTGATCACCTCGTTCCCTTTTCTTGCTTTTAATGTGAGAAGTGAGAGAAGAACTATTTGGTATACTTTCTGAACCAGATTTTTGCTGCACGGCTGGAAGTGGACCATTCAAGGGCTTTGGTGAACGGCCTCCAGACTGCACCACCCCATGCATTTCTCGCCTTGTCTTTTCTAATAGTTGATCTACTTCTTCTTGACGTTCCTGTAATTAAAATTTGATTGAGTTGGTGGGTGTGTTACTAGAAAAATCAACCAAAGAAGGAAAGGAACTTCTTAATGTGAGATGAAAGCGGATACTCTAGATACTCACATTAATATAATCTCTATCGGTTAACCACCATAAACACTTGTTATCAGTGTCATACACTCTTCTGCACACAAATGAGGAAATGCTCGACGGAAGTTCAATGCCTTTGCGAAGGAAAGCAACTTTACAAGGATGAAGTAATGATGCGACAGGTATCTCATCTTTATGAAATGAGTAAAAGATCTCATTCGGCGCAGCATCTAACGATAATCCTTTTGGGAGCTTCACATCAGCAGGCCGGTAAAGCCAATTCACATCTAACCTTAAATTCGTCTCCTTGTCCGACTTGAATGAACGTATAATTCCAATAAAAGGAGGGGAATCTAGAGGTGGCTTGAAAAGAGCACAATCACCAACATGGATTTTGCGTCCATCCTATTATAGTCAAAACCTTCTTTAGTACAAGTATAATAAATAAAATCTCTAGACCAAGTAAAATGTAAATGAACAGACCCCCCTCCAAGAAACCAAGTACATAATATACACAAACACACACAACCCATATGTGTAACCAAAAATGATAGTTCTACACTGAAAATAAAATGTTCTACAGGGTTATTTAATTGGATGTAAATATCATCAAATTCATGTGCATGAACAGTTAATACAAACATCTGCATCAAAGTGACATAAAACTACATTTAAATTGTCGCATTATATTCAGGCACACGAAAGGATGTTCAAACTCTACAAGAAAGTTGAGTTACCACAACCTTCTAAGTCACCACTACAAGCATTCAACTTCTATGGAATACAATAGGATTCTTTTTCTTTCCCGTTTTTGAATGTGATAAAAGGAAACAAAACAAAGCTCAGATAATATCTTCAGAAAGCAACTCCGTGACCCAAAGTAGGGTTTCTTTCAACCCACTTTATCTCATATCACTACTAGCAGAGCTCTTAGCAAGCTCATAGGTAGACCTATTCCCTCTTCTGCGCATCAAAGAGAAGGTAACAACTCTGAAGCTTTAGCAACTTAGTTCATCTGAGAAATCACAGAAATCAAACACACTCTTAGAGATGGTGAAATGCTTTCTTTGAAGCTTTAAGCTTCAGCAATTTCTGCATCTATCACCTGCAGGATTTTGCATGTTGATGTTGGCATCAAATTGCTTTTGATGTTTTCAACTGCCATGCCAACATCGGCTCAATTTAGGTCCATTTACATTGAGGCATTAGTAATATATTTGTATGCATCTTCATGGGGAGGAACTAATCTCAACAGATGACTGAACACCAACCAGTAGAATCTTACACACTTTGATAACTCGTCTCTCCGTCATATAATGTACTTTGTGATCCATTCAAGTAGATATCATGAATCTTTCACTGTCTGTTCATGGATCCATCAATTCCTGCTATTCCACAAAGCCGATTATATGAAAAGCATTTCACCATCTCTAAGAGTGTTCATGGGTCAACTTAAGAGGCACCTTGAAATTAACCCTAGTATTCGATTGCAACTTAGTTCAAGGCAATGGACCCAATCAAACCATATAATTGAAGTCGATCATTTCCAATATTGTTTAATGAAAATGGTCATAAAAAGACAGTTTTTTAAGAAAATGTTCGTTAAAAGATTACATCTATGTGTATGTTTGGTTAACGCGTTTGTTTATCCCAACTCCCAAGTTACAAGTTTGCAAATCCTATTTAACGACAAAAGCCCATGTTCCAAAGACATAAACCAATAAGATCTTCCTTTCATATTACAAACGAATTTTATCAAATCAAAACTCAGTAACTGAACACATATTACACAAACTTCATTTCTTGTAATCCATTATTATGTACAGCCAAAATATTTTGTATATAAACCTGGGTTTCTAATTCCCAGATGTTATAAACTTGTGTTTTGTAACCACGAGTCAAACAACCCCTTAAGAATTTAGTTTCATCCAGGAAATTACAAATAGTAGTTTCCATATAAAATTTTATAGTTCTAATTCATCCTACCCTACATTATTCAATATGGGGCAACTCTAATGATAATTAATATCCCAAGTAAATGGCAATCATGGTCTAAACCCAAGATCAATTCGCAAGTCCACTTATTTTAACCGAAATCAATCTGGACAAGCCTATAACCAAACTAGTTGGGCAACATTGCGTCTTATTCCCTATAAATTTGGACATGAAAACACGATCACAATGGTAAGAATAACCATTTTTATTACGGTATAGTAGCTTAGGGGGTGAGACAATTTAAACATTTTTTCCCTAAGCATCCACCTATCCTTATAAACTATGACCTTTTCCCATTCAAATTCCTCCATATACCACATTTTTCCAGTAAAAGGCTTCTCAAAGAAAATGAAGGTTTACTGCCTAGCTTTGCCTCCATAAAGGAAGCGTTCAGTAGAAGCATTTCCCCTTCAGAATGAATATTGGTAAAAGCCCAGGGTGGTTCAGCACTCCCTAATTTGGTTAAGCCAACACCAACACAGCTTGACTGGAAAGAGCTATACTTACAAATCCCATACCACCCTCCTCTAATAGATCTACACTCTACACAGACAGCGCACCAACAATATTTTTCACCCCACTGTTAAATTCCCACCAATAATCAACCACAATACAATTTACTTCGATCATACTTTGTCAGGGATCTTAAGGCAATTCCTTTATACTTATAAACAGCAGAAAATGTAACCTCCCACTCACTTTAGGTTCTTCCATGCTAAATGGGGCTGGACCCTTTTCAATCGCCAAGAAGTAACACATCTAGACCAAACCAAACAACTGAAAGAGCAACAATCTGTAATTTGTTTTACGCACTAAAGCAGTAAGTAGCTACGTGGTACTAGCAAATCTCACTAACATTAATTCAAATTTCAAGAGATTAGATCAAGAAATTAAACTATAATGCTGGAGGCAAACGGAAGAGCAATGCAAATTTGAAAACAAACAAACAAAACAAAAGGAAGCGGATAGAGCAACCAAAAGATAAACGATTTAGTCTTCATCTAAAACCCTTAAAAAGGATAGCATTAATGAAATCATATCAGATTCACATGCCAACGCAATCGATAGAACAATCCTACGCCGAGTTGGAAACCTAATAAACAAGATCAAATTCTTCATGGGGAGAATGGAACAAAAAAACAAAAAAAAAAAATACAAGACAGCAGAACACAGAAGATGATACACAATTTAGAAGTAAATGCAGAAAACAAAAGGGAAATCGGGGCGAAACAAACGTAAAACTATCAATACTTTGAGAAAGAAATCTGGGGCGGACAATTCGCAAGCTACAGCTGTCGAATTAGAATGGACCGGCCACATGTGCCGCCTCTGTTTCCACCTCTCACCTCCAGACCCATGCATATCCCTCCATTTTCCTTGAATCTTGAATAAATACCACTTTCCTCTTCTAAAAGAATCATCAATTCAGATCAAATCCCACCCCCCAACACAGGCAAAATAAAAAATAAAAGCAAAAGCAAAAGGGGCAGCAAAATTCGCAAATTGGGGATTTACAAGGGTAGGAAGAAACCTGAAATCAGAGGTGGGTCTTGTTCAACTAAGCAGAGAAAGAAGAGGAAGCCATGAATAAAGGGCGGGGAAGACTGATGAAAAGGGAGGGAGATGAAAATTGGAAAACTAGGGATTGTGTAATTGAGGTGTGATGATGCTGAGAATTGCGTTACAGTAAAGGGGAGAGAAATCAAAATGAAAGAATCGAAATTATGGGGGGAAAGAGTAAAAAGAAGAAATGGGTTCCGAAGATTTTGAGCGAAGAACTCGCCGGGAGAGATTTGGAGAGAGAGAGAGAGAGAGAGATGGGATTTGAGAGACGAAAATGGCGACTGGGAGCGAATACGTGGGCTTGGAGCCAAAATTTTTGCAGAGAGTCGAGGGAGTCGTTGAAAAGGACAATACCAAAGCTAACGACGCCGTTTTGACTTTTCCGGGGGAAAAAAAAAAAAAAAAAGCAATATGTGGGTCAATGGGAATCATGTCGTTTGCAGGTACCGATATGTCGTATCCTGTACGCAAGTAACGTGTATAGTATATATGCCCAAATCTCTCCTTTTTTTTTTTCCTTTTTTTGTTCTTTTTCCTTTTTTAGAATTAATATTTGAGATTTTTTTTTTCTTCCTTTTTCCAAGTAAATAAATTTTTTATTTTTACCCTAATTTTAAAAAAAAGAGATAACAATAATCAATGAATTTTATTAATATTCATTAATAAAAAATAAAAAAAAAACTTTTCATATTAAGCGTAACTACATTAAAATAAAATAATTTTAAAAAAACCTACCACAAATAAAATATATTAAAAGCCACTTTTATAAAATTCTAATTATAATGCAAATAAATGATTTTCTTTCTCCATAAATATGTGCAAATTTAATTAACATGTTTGGTTATAATTACATAAATTTGATGCCCATAATTTTTCATGAAATGTCTAAATCATAAGTAGAAAAAAAGAAAGTTAGATGGAGTTTACATTAAATTTTAGTTGAGTCTTGGAAGGTAATTTAATTGATATTAAAAGTTGTATTTATTGTTATTCAATATTTATTTTGTGGTTAGCATTTTAATTTAATGCTAGAGTGCCGCTCACATTTACTATATAACTCTATTATTCATATGTTAATAGGGCTCATTATAAAGTGATTTTCATTATAAATAGCTTTTATATATTAAATGAACATCCATTAACTCTTAACCACTACCTTAGCCACTTCTAACCTAAATTTATTGATTTATAAATGTTTGCGAGTAAAATTTAATTGCTAAAAGTGTTTCCTGAGTAGGGTTGTTTAGACACGGTTTATACACATGCACATGATCTCATTAGACGAGCTTGTATATGTACTTCTAGACTTAACTATGGGGTAATGCATGTTCACGTTGCCAAAATTCAATGGAATTCGTGTTATGGTGTACTCATTCGTACAAAACACACTAGGGAAGTAACTTGTTCAATGAGTCTAATTCTAATTGTTTTGTTCCAAAGCAAACCATAGGGTTGTTCGTCCTATTCTGATATTTACCACCAAGAAATACTAGATTCTCTTTTGAGTAGGTCCTAAAAAGAGAAGGAAGTGTCTATTATTGAATTCACCCGACTCGATGTACTCCATTTTTTAAACGTCTAGTACCAAAGTTACTGAATGGTTAAGTCGCCAATACTACTACCGATCAAAAAGCTAGTTTTTTTTGGCGTAGAGCTTAAATTTAGTCCTACAAACTAGTTTGTGGTTTATTTATAAAATTAAAAAAAAAATAAAAATAAAAATCTATGAACATCTCCCATATAAAAATTGGAAGAATATATATATATATTCTTCTCTTACATGAAAATTATTATTATTATTAATTAATGACTTTCGGATAAAAAATAAATAAATAAATTTGAAAAACTAAATTTAAGATTTTTCTTTTAGTATGGTAGAATTATAGACGAAAATGGTATTTTAACCAAAATTTAGAAAAATAATTTTAATTCAAAAAATACCTTTTATAAATTTTGTTAAACTATTTGATTCATCCATCCCGTTTTAAAATTTTGTAATTTTGTGTCTAATAAATTTCTTAATTTTTATTTTTTTATTTAATATATTTTTTACATATTCAATTTTTTTAAAAAAAATTATATGTCTATTAGATATGAAATTGAATGTTAAATATTTTTTTATTTATTAATTTTTCTATGACATCTCAATAATATAACATCTGGACCAAAATTTTAGATAATCGAAAGTTATGCAACAAAGAACATACCTCTTTTAGTCGATTTTTATACGAAATTTATATTACCATTTTAATATCTACTTAATATTACTAAGTTTCAACTCGAAGTTTGAAACATGCATACGCTTTCAATTTTACTTTTGGTAAAGCTTAAAAGTCGTTTTCTAACATTTATTTCCCAAAACATAGGAATCAGTTCATCCCAAAATTGTTTTTATTTTGAATTTGAATGTCATTTTATTGGACTTTATTTCGAAAAGGGATGGAGAGGTAATATATATAGATTATTATTTATTTATTTAAGAATTAATTTCTTTTTTTTTTTCTTATAAATAACAACGACTTGTGAGTTCCTTAAATTAAATATGTAAATTTAGAAATGATGATTAGAAATAAAATCAACTTAATAATAATTACAATTATTAATTTATTTAAAGTCATTTTAGAAACTAGGCACAATTTTAAGTAAAAAAAGATTGGAGACAAAGAAAAAGTGAGAAAAATAAATAAAGTTTTGAGAGAATAAAGTTAGAAATAAAGATCAATAAAAACTAGAGAGAAAAATATATGAATATATGCATAATCTTTTTAATTAAATATAAAAAACTATATTTATACTCGAGAATTATTTGATTGTTAGTTAAAATAAAATTAAAAAAAAAATTAAAATTGATCCCTAAATTTATTAAGCAATATCTACCAAACCTCATGTACGCCTCTCCTTAATCGAGGCTCGACTCATTTGAAGTCTTAGTCATTTTTTACTGCATTCAAGGAGGCATGTCTCATTTTCTTTTGGAGTCCTTTGTTTGACATTTGAGGATTTACCAATATATTAGCGCGACTAAGTTTAGGGCATGACTCTGATACTATGTTAGATGAACACGACTTTCCACAATGGTATGATATTGTCCACTTTAATCCCAAACTCTCATGACTTTGCTTTGGGCTTCTCCAAAAAGCCTCATACCAATGGAGAGAGTATTATTTGTTTATAATTTCAGCATCATATTGTAGATCATGATTTTTTTTTTTTAATCAGCCAATGTTGGACTTCCTCCTAACAATGTTCGGTTCGAATAAAGTAGAACATAGAACCACTCCTGATACCTATAGAACCCTAGGCCCTCAATTGAGGCTCATCAACTTCTTATGAAATCTACCAACAAAATATACTATTCATTCGATACTTGAGTTACTCTTGATTATATCTTATTTTAACCCATTTTAAAAAATTATAATAATAAAATAACAGGAATAGTCACTAATTTTTTCTCTAAAAAAAAGAAATCAAGGGTCCAGATCCGGAAAGGGGAAGTTATTATGTGGCCGAGTCCAGTGGATAAGCAGATAGGAATCCTAAATTCCTGACATTACACACACTCCAACCGTCGAGAAAATGGCTTCAATCTCCCTCTTCCCCGCCCTTCACTCCGTTTCTCGCCCTGCAATTGCAAACCCATCTCCAATTTTCAGACCTTCATTCGCCCTTCCCTCCTCCTCTAGCTTCATCGTTTCCGCCGCCGCCTTCAGGCATTCGGCGGGTAAGGGCCGGAGCCGGCCACGCGGCCTGAAACAAGTGAGGGTAGTCGAAGAGGATGCCTCTATTCCTGAGCAAGGAGGTGAAGGCGAAGCGCCGTCGCCTTCTCCGTCTGAGCAGCCGGCAGTCACCGTGCCTGTCTCGTCGTCTGATATTCTCACCATGTTCTTTCAGGTATATAACCATTTTAGTAATATGTGTGTGTTTTGCTGATAACGATTGGTGAAAGTGGGTCTTGAATTTGGTGAAGAATTTGAGCACATTTTGATTTGGGAATGAGAATTGCATATGGTTTAGACATTAGCTGCTTAATTAGTTAATTCTTGGGGGAAATTTCAATTCCTTGCCCTGCACCTAAGTAGTGAGTTTAATTTTTCAGTTTAAACTTCGAAATTCCACAATCGTTGCTCTTCAAAAGTAACTTGAAAAATGGCCATGAACCAACCAATAAATCATACAAAATTTAGCTGTGAAAACACTCACAATCATGTCAAAGAAATTCCCAATCTAAGTCACAAAAATACTCCAAATTAGTGGTCAAATTTAGCAACACAAAATACTCCAAATCAGTGGTTTATGAACTGTGCCCATTATTGGGATCTGCAAGTATAATACCTTTGAATTGCTTGGAAGCATTTCTTATTGTTATCTTTTTCGTTCCTGAAGGCAGAGGGGACGCTAAATGAATCAGCTGTGCCTTCTGTAACCGAGGCTTTGGAGGTACATTGTTCTATCATCCTTGCGCCTTTTATGTCTTGCTTCTTGTTATTTGTTAGTAAAATATGTTTAAGAAGTACCTTTTATACATACATACATACATACATACATACATATATATATATATATATATATATATATTGCTGGTGAAAGTTGAAGCTCCAACTTTGATAAGATCTGAATTGTCAATCTACTGAAGATTTTTAATAGGAACTCATGGTAATCTCAATTTCATGAAGACTTCATAATAAGATTTGTCTTGTTTTTGCTCTACCAATTTGACAAAGTGTTTGTTATAGGAGCAAATCTGGGATACACTTTTTTTAGTTGAACTTTTTCTACGAGTACTTATCGAGGGCTTTCTCCAAAAGCATTGCTATTTAGAATTTTTTAAATTAGTTTCGACTGCGTAGCCAAACACCATGAAAATTTTGGGAAATGGTTTTTATTAACTACAAATCAACTGGAGACCTTTTAGTACTGTTTTCTTTTATGCAACTCGTGGAATATCTCAAAGACCATTTAATCAGCACATCTAGTTAGATACACTATGCTATGTCTGTTCTCTTCTACTGTGAGACATCATCAAAAGCATTGAAATTTCGTAGAATGTGCTGAAGTGATAGGAGAAGTGTTAAGAACCAGGTTTCTTGTTCTTTTGAAGATCTTGTTTCTAGTAGGAATCATGTACTTCCACAGTGGTATGATATTGTCTACTTTGAGCATTAGCTCTCATGGCTTTGTTTTTGGTTATTCCAAAATGACTCATACCAATGGAAATGTATTCCTTATTTATAAACTCATGATCATCCCCTTAATTAGTCAACGTGAGACTCTGTGAGATCCCACATCGGTTGGAGAGGATAACGAAACATTATTTATAAGGG